TGCGGTGCTAATGTGACGGGAATAGTATACCTATGGAGCGCCTCGTGTGGGTAATGAGGAATTCGCCGACTATGTCTCCGGCCAGGGCTCAAACTTCCGTGTTACTCATTCCAATGATATCGTTCCTCGCTTGCCACCTCGTCTGCTTGGGTATCACCAGATCAGCCCTGAGTACTGGATCCCCGCGGGGAACAATGAGACTGTTGGGACGGCGGATATCGAGATGATCAATGAGGCTGACTCTGATCTGGGAAATGCTGGACAGAAGACACAGAGCATTGAAGCGCATAAATGGTATACTGACCATATATATGAGTGTAAATAGGTTGTGTGGTCTTATTATCTTTGGACACTCTCTCGGTATTAATAATATTTAATAGCGGCGACATTGATAGACACTTTACAGTAGATGGAGAGATCCCCTGCAGTGACGTGCATATTTCTTGCCAGTAATACATATCATGTCACATACTGTGATGGTAGATATGAAATGGTTGTATGCACATACCAACCCTAAAGACATAGTAGACAGATAAATTAGGACAGAAACCCACCTTTGTAACTTGGACGTGAAAAATGAATGAATACAGAAAGGACAAAGGTTGGTATGTGGAACAGTGTATGCTGCACGGATCTGGCTATTGCTCCATATCCCGTTGCTCAAAGAACAACCTTTCTATGCTGGCACAGTCCCTCTACGTAAGAAAGGGGTTGAGAATATAGATGAATATTATATTTCCTACAGCATCATGAAAGTAAGAGCAAATGGAGGGGGGTTGCTTATACAGGGTGATTGGTGATTTTGACTAAATCATATTCATCATGAATGACAGTAAGCTAGGTAGATAATAGCTACAAGATTCATGTGTCTGGGTCCTGAACGTGGCTTCGTGAATTCATGTTGAATTCAATTCTTGATTTCCGGGACTAATGAAGGAATTTGACTATGCAGTCGTCTCTGTTTTTAGACATGGCTGGTAGAGATAGACCACGAGACCGCGCATTATGCTCTCTCATTGATGAAAGCCAGCAGAGCCATGACAAGACGCATAAGTGAGTCTTTCTTGCTCGATGTCGAGGAGATCACCATCAAAAATCCCCGCTTTCGATGTCGGCTTTGTGTGAAACGACGCCCATAAGCGGAAGCGAGTCCTTATATAAAAGCGGCGCAGCACTTGTGGTGGTAAGTAGCATCGGGTTCCGAGCAGGTAGGTCGGCTCCGACGTGGCTGGAAAGCAAAGCGCGCCCAAAGAGAAACAGAGGAAAGCGCAGAATATATATGCCGGAAATCTCTCGTCGCAATCTGCTCCGAAGAAATCGGTGGTACCCTTGTGATGAAGACGCCGCACACTTTGGCGATATGGGGCAGATGAGGCTGGCGAGAAGCCCGTGGGCAATATCACCGTATTGTCCTGCAGGATGGCGAATAATTCTTAGAGCGAACTACTTTATTTGTGTTTGCGCTTCTTCTGAGACTTGTTGCCTCCAACAGAGCCTTGACGTCCACCAGAGATGCTCGTTAATTTCGAGAGCTTGACCTTCGGAGGTTGTTTCGACGCCTTTGCTTTGGCTTTGTTGATCATAGATTCAACATCATCTTCGTCTTCATCCTCGTCCTCCTCAGAACCAGACTCATCACCGCCCGTGTTGCGCGTCTATAATGGTCAGCAAGACTAATCCCCGGACTTTGAAGATGCGAACAAACCTCAGTCTTCTTCTTCCGTTTGAAGTTACCATACGTCTGTCTCCCTCCATATGCCAAGTCATCGTCATCATCAGCGTCAAGAGAACCATTGGCAACAATGAAGGGCGGCGGGGCATATTGGTGCACAGGGTCTTCAGCAAAATCAATCACCCATTCTGTTTCACCTGATTCCGCAGCCTGACGCGCAATAGCTTCCCGACGTTTCTCTTCTTCCGCCGCAAGAGCGGCCGAGATAGCCTCAAGATCCTTCGAAGGTGTAGCTGCCGGGCTATAAGATTGTTCACCGGGTGCGAATCTTTGGCGTTTGGGGGTAGGAGTGTTTGAACCTTCGGTGGAAGGCGGCTGAGACGATTCTTTAGCGGCAGCTGTAGCGGCAGATCGTTGCATAAACTTGGATCAATCAGTTTGTGTTTACTAGACTCCAGTAGACGAAGATCGTATAAATTCGTAAAAGCCCAAATGCAAGCGACATACTTTCATCGTAAGAAGACGTGAAGACATTGTCTTCTCTGGCTTGGAGCCAGTCGCAGGTGAGCCGGCCATGACGGGATTGTGACGGAAGAATTGCCGAAGCTAGACAGACTCGGAAACCCTTTTTCTTAATGTATCGTGCAATAATATGTATATATAGCGATGAAAGAACGAGCGACAAAAAAACATGAGCCAAAAGCGGAACAAATTCGCAAGCGGCAGAATTGGGTCAGCAGCCGCAGGAGAGACGCCGATTGGCTCTTCAAGCGGCGGCGCGAGCTCCCGCAAACCTCACCCTTTGAAGCCGACTTCTCACCTCCGCTTCACCCGCCATCCACAATTGCCCTCTGCACCAAGTCCTAGGGACTCAATTGCTCAACATGTTGCCTTTGGCTCGAAGCCGGATCGCGGCGTTCTCTGCCGCCTGGACTCCTCGCATTGCCGCCCGGGCCAGCTACTCCACCACCGTCCCTCGTTTCTCCGAGAACAACATCCCAGCCAACGACCCGAACGCCCCGCAAACACCCAAGCCCAATGTATCCGCCACCAATGCCACTCCTGTTGATGCTATGGGTTCCCGGGATGCGCCTTTGAGGGAGAATGTCGAGGCTGGTGAGCGCAACCGCCAGCTTCAGGCTCCTAACCGCGCCAGGACCTGGGCCGCCAGCCAGCAGCCCAGAGAGAAGGCTATGACTGGACCTCGCTTCGAGCAGACAATCATGGAGTTGCAGGTATGTTTAGGCATTAACATTGCAATTGGGTGTTGTGATGGTTTTACGGACTAGATCCGATACATGAAACTGCGCAAGTACCACGAGTGACAGATCGATCAGCTAACAAGTATCAAAACTAGCCCCAACCTTATGCCGCTATTGAGCTCATCCACAAGCAGCCCGTCCGCTGGACAAAGAAGAGGGTCGTCAGCTGTGACGGCGGTGGTGGTCCTCTCGGCCACCCCAGAATCTATATCAACACCGACAAGCCCGAGATTGCTACCTGCGGCTACTGTGGACTGCCTTTTGTAAGATCCATATTCAGAATTCAGATTTGTGCAAATTGCTAATATTGTAATAGGCTCACGAGCAGCACCGTGCATACCTCGAGTCCCTCCCCGCTACCAGCTACCCTCTCGAACCCACTGGTGACGCCGCCGAGGTGAACGAGACTCAGCGTGTCACCGAGGGTGGTCTTGAACAGCGGTAGAGCATTGTTTTTGGCGTTGATGATTGTTTGTTTTTCTTGCCCTCTCTTTTGCCTTCAGAGGGGCGTTGTACAGATTGTACCGATCAATGAGTTAGAATAAAATGTTTCCATATCAATCGACAATAGCCCGATTCCATACTCGATCAGGTATAAATGGGATCAATACTCCATAGATGTGGAGATTCAGATGGTGACCTTTACTTGTGAATTTTACTGGTATTCGGACTATTTGTACGGTCCGCTGAAATACAGCTCGTTATTATGAAGTACCCTCGACCATCGTTGGAAACGGTCGGTTCACACCATCTACATCTGTCCAGTGTTTTCTCAACCCAATCTCCCATATACACCACTGTACCCTTTCTAAGCCCCTCCAACAACATTTGCATAACATCGTCAATCATAACTTTCCCCTCCGACCCACATCCAGTCACTCGAATTTCTCTCCTTGGATGGTAGCAACAACATTTCTTCTATGCTTATGGGCCCTGAACTCCAAATACCAAATACCTTGCCAAGTACCAGTGGCCAACTTGCCATTAGAGATGGGAATGCTGACGGAAGCTCCAATCAACGCGGACTTGATATGGGCCTACCAAACAACCGGTTAGCACATGGCTTTGTAAACTAAGGCGCCCCCAGTCTAGATGAATTTGAAAACATCTTGCACAACTGAGAGCGGAGAATTTAAATGAGGGCATGTTATAATTACCGGCATGTCGTCCTCTCCCTCTGCAGAATGGCGATAGAGGTTTCCCTTCTTATCATAAGGCACAATTCGTTCAAGTGCATCGGACATATCTTCTTGCACATCATCATCCCAATTTTCGTTCAGCGATAGGGCACAGCTCGTATGCTTGATGAAAAGGTGTAGGATGCCAACTTTGTAGTTCTCGATTTCAGGGAGTTGGTCTGTAACCTCCTTGGTGATCAGGTATGAGCCGCGGGACTGCGGGGTGAGGGAGAAGGATTTCTGGAACCAGGACATATTGTATTCAGGTTCGCAATCTAGAGCCGTTCTCTGCCTTCTCGGATATTTTCTATAGCGATGAGATGTAAGTGCCTACTGGATTTAGTATGTTCGAAGTGGGGTTGAAGATCATTTCTGGAGGTGCGAAGCGAGGGGCCCAATCGCGAAGCTCAAAACGACGCTACTGTACATGCAGGATTAATACGAGGGAGGACGTACCTGGAGTGAAGTATCTACTCCAGCTGTGAGAATGCTTTTAATCTCCGTTTTAGGTGAGGTTGATGAGAAGTTGCCGGACTAGATAAATCCGTCCGAGTGGGGACAATTTATGGGTACCCCAACGACGTCATGTAAATATGCACCTTGTTAATCTTAATCATTTGGAACTTGATTGGACTCTTTTACTACCGCTTCTCGACCCGAAGAAACCTCAGCTAGTACATAGTAGTACTATATATATATACTTCTACATGAGCCATCCATTCAGCCGACTCCTACGACCAATTCCACACAATACGCGTTCAGGAATTTTCTGCAGTGCAAATAGTTTCCTGCACGTAAGGTGGGTTACTGGTCGCACTACCCCAGTTAACACCTCCCAGAGCTTTACCGGCATCGGTAGAATTCTCTGAAGAAATCTGTGCTTGTCAGGACCAAAACAAACGAACGAATGCTTTCCCAGAAACCCTTACATAGTTTTTCTTGCCGACATAATGCCACCAATCGTTGCTCCGAAATGCATTATCCGTCGATTGACTGATCGGATCAACCCAGCCAGTATTGCGCGTATCGAAGTGAGCGTGTTTTGACCAAGAGATATAAACCTTGGGGTGATCATTATTACGGACTCCATTGGGGTTATTGGCCTTGCCAGCCTGGATCTCCTCCGTGGTGAGGGTGTTCTGAATGTCTCCCCAGGCTAGATTGTGATAGCCGCTATGGGAGGATAGTAGGGCCCGCGACGGCCCCCACATGTTGTTGTCGCCCCGGGAGTGGATAATGATCACTCTTTCCCAATCGCTGTGGCCATTAAAGGACGTCTTGCACAATGGAGTGAACTTCAACACTCACTAGTCATGACCGGTGTCAATAACCCCGATGACTTTGGCACCGTCCTTCTCATAAAAGAGGTTATATGCCACTCGCACTTCGTTATCATTGCACCTCTTGAAGGTATAGTAGATGGGGAAATCCGGTGCCGCGTTATTGATGGGCACTCCCGGCTTGCGGCATCCGCATCCGACGTCCGGATACTCACACTGTGCCGCGGCCGGGGTCTTATGGTTGATATCATACACATCATTTGTCGTAGGAGAGCCCCCAAAGGCCCACGTTGGGTAACAGGGTGGTTGGTTAAGTGCCTGCCCAAAAAACCACATGGGAGCATAACGATCCGCAAGCTCCACGCCTCCCTGGCTAAGAAAAAGGTCCATCTCGTCATTAGTGATTTGGGTGATGGCTGCTGTGTGGCTGGCAGCCAAAACGGCGGCAAGAATGAAATTGTTTTGGGGCCGCATTATGTAATTGTATTGGGGATGTAAAATCTCTTCGTCAAGAAAGTGATAACATGGGTAATATTAATTATAGTGCCCCGGCTTCAGTACATTTTTCATGCATTGGCTGTTGGGGCCAATCCGCTTTAAATGCCCGACTTGTAGCTGTCGTGCGGCTTATGTTCATGACAATTCTTGAAAAGGCGATCACCGGAGGGTGACATTAAACAAAAAGCAAACAGGGGACATTCTCCAATAAGCTATCAGCTGAATCAACAATTCTCAGCTCCAGTCGGAGTCAGACTATCAGGTGGATTGAGCCAGAGGGTCGGATTGGTCAAGTGATCATAAATGGCCCCCTCCGGCTTCATGTGTTTTACCCGAAAACTCCGTCTCACACCCGACCATGGTGTTTGATCTGTACCTGACCTCCCATTGTCAGCAATAGAGCTCGGTTGCTTTAAGACTCTGGCCCCATGACAAACTAGGAAATGGTCTGTACTCCCTAATGTTCTTGGCCTTGTTTCCTGTACGACGCTGATGACCCTACCTACCAGCACAATTCAGACGTCAAACCTGAGTAGTTCGTCTCAGTTTTGCAAATTTGATTTTGGAAAGGTATAAACAAACTTTATGGCCTCACTGTCTATGGTACCGAGAGCCGGCATCGTTAAATTTCACAATTTCACATATACTTCCCCTGTGAGGCCGTGCCAGAGATATCTAGTAAGCCACTTTTCTGGCTTGAATTGCCACATGTCCAAGCCAGGCCTCCCCCTCTCATGGCATACATACAAAAAAACAAAAACACCATTTGCTTGGAAGCTCCTGTATATATAAGGCCACTGGTCAACTTTAAAGAAACATTTGATCTCTGCCCTCATTGTTCCGATTTCCGGCATAGGGGCCCCCGGCTGTAGGCATCTGTACTAATTCTCACCACATGCTTCCTGTAGTAGCTTTACCACTGTGTCATGCCCGTTTTTTGCAGCATAACCTGACGGTATCTGACCCCAATCATCCTGGAGCTTCATCTGAGCCCCTTGATCAAGCAGCAGCTTTACCACTGCCTCATGTCCATTCTCCGCAGCATAGGATAACGGCATCCGACTCCAATAGTCTTGAGAGTTTATATCGGCCCCCTTTTCAAGGAGGAGTCGCGCTATTCCTTCACTGCCTCCCTTTGCAGCTGAAAAAAGTGGCGTTTGATCATGATGACCACGAGAATGCAAATCAGCCCCCTTCTCAAGAAGCAGTCTTACTACGGCATCATGGCCTCTATGCGCAGCTAAGGTTAGTGCTGTCTCCTTCAGGATAGTCGGTGACTCTATATCGGCACCTGCCTCCAGAAGTACTTTGACAATCGCGTCATGGCCACGCTCTGCAGCGTAGGATAATGGTGTCAGACTAGTGTCATCTCGGCATTCTATACAAGCCCCTTTAGAGATGAGTAGCTTTACTGTTGCCACTTGATCCTTTCTAGCCGCGTGTGATAGCGCAGTCCAGGATTGCTTGTCTTCGGATTCTATGTCGGCTCCCTTCTCCAGTAGCAATTTCACTACTGCTTCACGGCCTTTCATTGCAGCCCAAGTCAGTGGTGTACGCCCTTCTTTATCCCTCGATTCTATCGCAGCCCCCATCTCAAGCAAAAATGCTACTACCGCATCATGATTATTCTCCGCAGCAGCCCAAGATAATGGTGTTCGGTGATCTTTGTCCTTAGACTCCAATTTAGCACCCCTTCCAAGCAACAGTCTAACCATTTCTTCGTGCCCGCCCTCTGCGGCACGAGAAAGAGAGGTTCGACCGTACTTATCCTCTGATTCGGCATAGACCTTACCAGACTGAAGCAATAGTTTGGCGATCACCAGGTGACCCGAAACTGCAGCGTATGAAAGGGGTGTTCGTCCATTTGCATCCTCATAATCAGGATCAACATCGTTCCGAGATAGTAACAGGCCCACAATAGCTTCATGTCCACGTTCTGCTGCGCGCGATAGTGGCGTGCGGCCGCTGAGGTCCCTACCGCCGGCACTGACATCACCACGGGTTAGCAGCAGCCATAGCATGCTAACATCCCCCTTTCCTGCTGCGTGGGATAGAAGCGTCTGTCCATTGCCGCTTATCCCATTTGCGTTTATCCAATTTGTCTCTGCATCACAACAGGCTTGCAGTGGCCTTTCTAGTATTTGGAGATGTAAGTCATCTACAGCAGGCTCCGTGTTTCTTGGTTTCCCTTTCTTGTTCATTTTCCGATTTTCGGGTCGTCGTTGTTTGATACATAATCTTCTCAAAGGATACTGTGATGGTTTAAGGTCGCCGAGATTAAGAAGTTGAAATGTTCCGCACTGTCTCCTTTTAAATTGTTGCATCGTCAATAATGAATCTTGCAAATATATCCCAATCAGCCGATTCTCTCTCTCGCGCTCCGTACAATGTAATATAGCGAGGCCTAATCCTGGATGGCCTATACCAATAAACCGTAATTCCAAATGGATTCCCTTGCTGCTTACAGTCAATGGACCTTCAATCGTTGCGAAAGGATTATAAGGGACAACATTTGCAGATTCTCTGAATGCGTCTGGGGATGTTGCTAAAAGCCCACCGTGATTCTCCTCTTCAGAGTCAGACCGCCAGGCAAATATGCTGTGATCATCCAATATTTTCATGATCTCTTCTTGGAGTCTAATAAAGGCATTCTTGCCCTCCCCATAAATAGGCGGCATGTTGATCCCGAATATCCCCATTAGACAATATGCTCGATCTTCGATTCTTGTTGTCTCCCTTCTCGCAGCCCATGACATCCTTTGAGCAACACTAGCAGTTTCGACATCATCCTCGCCCATCAGAATACCAGCAGGTATACTAGTGATCTCGGATAGAACATCTTGTAGACTCTCTCTGGTTCCCAACTCATTCCATCCATGATCGAGAAAAATAACCGTCGACGGAGCAATTAGCTCCTGAAGCGTCCATCCTCGGCTGAACCATCTACTCTCCGCGAAAGGCTTTGACGGCACATCCGCAAGATATGCATAGCATACTTCGGCTTCCTGATACCACCGATACATAGAATTAAGCGACTCAGACAGCTCCGCACTGCTCGTCTTATCAATGCAACACGTATCTATCCAGGCGTATCCATAACCATTGGCCCTAGCGAACGCACAACAATCTTTGACCTTTTTGAACCCCTTCTTATCGATCACGCCATTAGTTATATCCTGAAACGTGACCTCCATCTCATGCCATGTATGCGAGAGAATAGCATACGGCGGGGGTTCGCCAAAGAATTCCTCAATGATGAAGTTGCCCGTATCGGACGGCGTCGTATTTAGCAAACGCATGGCACAAAACTAGGAAACTCCTGTCTCTGTCCCGCTTTCAAGGCAGACTTAGAAGCAGGGTATAATAGGAGTTCTAAGCATGGAACTCCACGGCCGGGGGCTTTCGTATTTTTAGACCACGAGGGATTCTCGGTCACTTCGATAATGGCCCCCATTGCCTTTGGTGGGGCTTGCTAGTGAGGCCCTTCTTGACTCGTTGGGGCTATATCTGCATCCCTAATTGGGCGTCTTGCACTCGGGCGCTTACAGCCCGGCGCCATTGGGTCGCCATATGCAGGGGGTTGTGCTGACCCGAAGAGGGCATGGTATGTAATGGTATGATAAGGATAGATCATATCCTCTAATATAGCGCTAATTGAAAAATTGCTATTATAAGGAAGTACATGACATGGTAGGACTAGAGAAGTTATATCGTGGTTGCCAATGGAAAGTTAAAAATGTGGTGGTGGTATGTTTAGTCCATTGTGGTGACCGAGTATGGTCATAGGGTCGTCTGGTATCCACTTGAGCTTAGCCCTACCAATTGATCAAACCCTCTCAAGTAGATCTCAATGAACGCATAACGACTTCCAACACCAAGCAACAGGCACGGATATAATAGATGACGATGGCCATGGCACAAGAGCATCATAAATCCCATTTACATCGCCATGACATCATCCGTGATTCCCGGCTTTTTGGTGGCGTACACAACCATCTCGACCCGGCTAGATTCAAGGAAGATAAATATACATGGACACTGGTGTGAGCAAGTGTAGTTCGAGTAGATTCATCGAGTTCTAGCTTGATTTTATGTTTAAGCCACCTGCAGCTTGTGTTCCCGCAATCCGCCGTCCTTTCCTGACCTCTATCATTCACGCCAGCCAGCAAAGAACTCTGGGCTCTCTTTCGAGAACCACCAACCACTCTTTCTCAAAGTATCGCAAACTCAGTGATAGTACCCCAAGAATGGCGGAAGATGTACCGACAGGAGGGGACCCCCTTCCCAACCCCATCTCCGGTACTACCGACGAAGCCAGCTGGAAGCATCGTCCGCCATACAAGATCCAAACAGACGAAGAATTCGGTACCGTTAAATGGACTGGCAGGTGTCAATGTGGGCAAGTAGAATACAAGTTGAATCGAGAGAAGCCATTGAAATCGAAGTACTGTCATTGTCGGGGGTGTCAAGTATTACATGGTACGTGATTGAACAGAACAAGAGTGCTGTATTATTCGTCTGCGAGATATCTGGAGCACTCAACTGGAAGGTACTAACGAAATTAAATAGGTGCCCCATTCCAGTGGGCCACTATATTTCAAAAGTCCGACATAACTTTCACCAAAGGCGCTGATGGCCTGGCGTTCTACTCATCTACGGAGAAGTCGAGAGAGTATATGAACCCGACGAAAGTGTCGTGTTCGTTCTGTCGGACCCCGATTATGGATGAGGGGCGCAATGTTTGTCTTCTGTTCCCTGCGTCTATTGACTATGGCGAGACACATGAGGAGAGAGAGAAGTGGATCAATGCATTCGAAGTAGAGTCAGTTTTCAACATTCTTTGCCTCGGTTCGGATTGGTTTTATTTTAACCATGTTTGCAGGTGCCATATTTTCTACAGCCGACGGGCTGTAGAGATCCCAGATGGAAAGCCAAAATGGTCCGAGCTGGATGGCAGTAGCGAGCTCTTGGATGATTCGGGTAATCCCAAGAAGGGTAAATCATGAGGTTCCATATATAGACACTCGGTGCTCCGCAGATTGATTAAAATAGAAAGAAAATTCAGATTTCACGCACCTAAAAGACTGTCCAGCGTACAAGTAGTGGCATGCAGCATAAGCAGCAATGTTGGCTTCGCTTACTCCATGTTCCTCTAGTGTACATCCTAATCCCGGATAAGTACTGTCTTCTACACTACCCTACATGGTTGCATAGACTAGTTAGCACTACTCCACATCAAGCTAGAGGACTATCCAAACCCTTTGGAGTTCTCGTGACTTTCACCCCGCTTTCCATTCCATTTTGATTTTCACGTTTTCTGGCAGCCTTACGCTCAGGGGTATCCATGGATCTACATCTACCCATATAGTATTCAGATCATATCGCTAAGAAATACACAGCATTGATACTTTTGATACTCCTCTTTTCAGTGTCGTTTCCAAAACAAAGAATCCGTATCAAAATGGGTCCTCAGCTGTTTTTGTTCGTGGGATTGTTCCTACAACTGCTCTCTGCGCACCAGCTACATCCACGCGAAAACCCTGCCTGCGAGTTCTCGGTAGCCGCCTCCTACGCTGGAGAAACTTGCGACACTTTCACGAGGAGGTGGCATATCGATCGTGCCACATTTCTATCGTTAAATCCTGGTGCCGACTGCTCCGCCCTTACCGACGATCGCACCTTCTGTGTGAAGGAAAAGCGCCCGTCGATCTCGGCTACCTCTCTGGCCCCGATATCAACCACAACCACCTCTCCAACGATAGGGTCCACAACCACGGACAGCTCCACAGCGACATCATCCACAGCCACCGACAACTCTACAGTGACATCGTCTACAACTACTGGCAGCTCTACAGCGACAAGGGAATCCACGACTCCTACAGCTAGCTCTGAGTCTACCGCCTCAGCTGCTACCATTCCCCTGCAAGTAACAATGATTGTTACACTATTGTTGTCTCTCTGCTTTATTTGATCGGGCTTTATTGAAAGGCACGTCAATACAACTTGATACATGTACCACAACTGCGGCTCTCCGAGCCGATAAGCTTTGTACATCGTGCCTGAATGGTATTTTTGCATTGATGACAAAACCCTGAAGCGCATGGCCCGGACTATTCCGTCGTTTGCTTGCAGAGTGACCTTTCTGTTTGTAACATAATCTGTATTCTGGTTATTCCATATAAAATGGCACTTCTCATAGCCCTGATATTCCAAAGATAGTGTTGTGATATCGAATAATTACCGCTAGACCACAACAAACGTGAACACGCAGATCCCAGGGGTCTAGACAGTACAGTTCCGTACTTTTCCTGGTGGAACATGTGAATGAACGCCCGTCAGAAATTGGCGCGGCAAGCAGTTAATCTCCGTCCTTTGTTACATTGGGGGCGGTAGTCGTCATGCCGCCAGCGATATAAAGAAAGTCGTGACCGAGAAGGAAGAACTAAGAAAGTCTGTCCAACGCAACGTCCGGGCTGACAGGAGTTAAAAGCGTCCGGGATCCTTCAATACTGCCGCCCCACTTGTTTCATCCAACCACCGGAGGGGCCATAACCGCCGTCCTGAAACACGATAGACAGTTCTCTTCCCCTGTCTTGGCAAGGTGTTCTCCAGCCCAGCCTGGGCAAAACCACCCTTGTTATTTCGCTTCTGGATGGTCGATAAAAATAAGCACTGCGCATCGACCAGAGCAAACCATGCACCTGTCGCGCGCACTAGTTCTTTGGAAGGCTGAAATGATTGACCCTCAACTGCAGGGATCAACGCCTTCCAAGAGCTCTGCGAGTGCAAGGTGAACAAATAAAAGAAGAGAACGAGCCCGATGGGCAAAGAAGCAACCGCCAGCTTTCTCCATTGGCAAACTTACCCACCGGGCGCATCTATCCTTGGATTGCCACAGAAATAAAGTGTACGCAAAGCGATAATTCGGCGGCACGTCCCGGGGCTGATTTCATTTATTTCCCTTTTCCCATATCTGGTGGAGGTTCCCCTTCCCCACTTGCTCCTCCTCCTTCGTTCATTTCTCACGCATCCTCCTCTTTCGCTTAGCTTCATTCTTGCCATCTTTAATCTTTCTCTGACTGCAAAACCCTCTCCCTCCCCCCCCCTGATTTCCGACCTTCTCACTTTAATTCGAGCCTTTCGTGTTTCATCAATGCATTTGTCCTTCATACTCTCATCATGGGGTTTTTAAGCCGTTTTCGCAAGCGTTCGAAAAGTCATAGCCGTGCGGGGAATGCGGTCAGCTATGAGCATCTCCGCACTAACCATGAACCTGTTCCTCCATTGCCCATCATGGGCACAGATTACACCAAGAGGCTACCGCGACGTGTTTTAATCCGCATTTTCTCTTTCGTGTGCCCCCACGTCGAAGATAACAGTTATGATACCTCGGAGGAATCCATGACCGAGGATGGCTGTATGCTTTGTGACATGCGTGACCTCGCGCACTGCGCGTTGGTGTGCAAGCGATGGTCCATGGATGCGGACGCTCTATTGTAGGGATTAAAGTCTTCAACCTATTTTCCCTCGTCCCCTGGCTAACCGGGCATCTCATTTCTTAGATACTCCAATGTCCGCATCGACGCCGTCCACTACTGTGAGCTCGAGGTTCAGTTATCAGCGAAACGGAAACGCCGCTCCTTCTTCGACAAGAATGGCGACCCCGAAGACGCCCCCCAGGCTCGCCTCTCGCTCTTCATGCGAACCGTTCGACAATCACATGGCTTAGGGAGTATGGTCCGCTCTTTGCGCATGCCGTACATGACGCGTGAGGCGAGCAAATCGGAGATTGCACGAACGGTTTCCGTGTTGCCCAATCTCCGCTACGTGGATTTGCCCGCTGGATTCTTTAGTGACGACCCCGCGTGCCTCGCCCTGAAGCAGGAAATTATGGCCCGCTGTCCAGATCTTCGCCGCATGAATTACCGACATGGGTCGGAGGGTACCTTCTCGCAGTTGCCGGGCACACACCTCTGGGCCAATCTGGAAATACTGGAATTGTCGGGACTGCAAGTCGAGCCTCATATTCTCCGATTCGGCCTGGGCGCGTTCGTAGGCTTCGTGACTTAACTTTGGACGATCTTCCCTGGCTCGATGATTCCGCCTTCGCACACTCCCAAAGCTTTCCCCCGTTCCCCGCTGTTGAACGGCTTACCCTTCGAGATACCCCGAATGTTACGGCAAGCGGGCTTGCCGCATTCTTCTCCCTACCTGAAAACCGAGCCTCTTTGCAATCATTGACCCTGTCAAATACCCAAGTTCAACCCTCGACTCTCCACCAAATTGTCTCTGTCGCACCAGAGCTCCGCGCGCTATCGGTCATCCAGGAAGTTTCACGATCATTCCCTCCGGAGAAGGTGCCACCGCTCACCTCCCGGTCACTGGAACTGTTGCACTACGAGATATCTTCTCCACCCGGCTCTTACGGTATGGCGCCGATGGCAAGCTCGTATTATTCGTACCTGATATCATCCTTGATGTCCAACTCTCTTCCTGCTCTTCGGGATCTCTATGTCCGTGACGCAGGATTTCCAGAGGCATTATTGCTTGCCCCTCCACCCCGCTTGTTCGGTGGTGGTGAGAGTGGGCCCCAATTCGGGGGAGGCATCCTCGCACAGCCGTTGAACGTGTACAGCAAGGGCTTAGACGAATTGGAGTGGAACTTTACTCCTTATGAACCACCTTCAACCCGAGGCCGTCGCGATAGTACGACACGGCCTGTGAGCTTCCACGACGCTCAATTGAGTCGTTCCTGGGGTGGCGACGCAAGGAAGAGCGTGCTGGTCGGCAATGGCTTTGGCGGGTTCCTGGCTGTTCCGGTGGACAATGGGCGTCCTAAGAGTAGTGGTGGCTGGAGGCGTGAGAGTAGAGGTGATTTGTGGCGGTGATCGAGTTATGGAATCTTCCTAATTTTAACTGTTTTGATCGCGAGAGTATGTGATGGAATATGGGTTAATGTTATAATGAGTCTATACCCTGGTGCAGGTATTCAGCGCGGTAGCATTCTCTTACATTTTCTGTGTCCTAGCCTTTCTCGCAGCTTGATATGAGCGTGCTTGATCTGTATACAACATCGCCTATGTACTCGGGTTGTTGATGAGCGTACTAATGTTTTTTAAGACTAACAGAAGCAGCTACCATTCTATTCAAGTGGGAGAATGAGTGACCCTGTTCCATATTTTTCTTTGTATTCTGGGATGTTTTGGTTTTCTTTCCCTCGCACTGCATGCTGTCAGCCTGCTTTTGCCTTTTCACACCTTCCTATACCATACGCATCGTTCGCTCCTTGCTCTTTCGTCATGTCCTATATCTCAGTGTTTTATCATATGTGGCATTCTAAAGACCAGATATGCACTTCTGCTTACTTACCTACTATATCTTATATTTCTTTGTATCTGACTAGAAACCTGTGTGACCCTTAGCTTATTACTTCCCAACAAGCGTTGCAAATTCTAGCTATCTAACCTTATTATTGACCGATTATCCTTCTGTCTCTGCTGCAAGCCTAGTGCAAAATGGATACAGTCGACTTGGAGCCACAAGAACCGACAGGCCAAGAAGAGAGGAGCGCCCCGTCAACGGTGCCGAAGGAAGACCTTTACTTGAATCGATCCTATCGGAAAAACGTGATGATCGATTCAATATCAAAGTGAGTCAGAGACCTGAGCCTGGTATAGTTCGCCTCCTGATGAGGAATGCATGAGGCTTCTGTTGCATTACCAGTACAGTGACTTCACTATTATCTGCGGTAACCAAAGCTTTCCAGCTCATACGGCAGTGGTCTGTCCTCAGTCAAGATTTTTCACGAAGGTACTGAACGGCTTCTTCGTGGTTCGTTTTCTTATATCCTACGCATCGAATGTCGTGGCTAATACCCAAAAGGAAGCTCGATCCAACACAGTCAACCTTCCAGACCATCCCCTTGCTGTGCGCATGATGCTTGAATTTCTGTACAAGTCTGATTACGGTTTTCATATGGAGTATGATTTCCCCAGCTCGGACTTTTCGGAAGGTATAGGTCCACCTGAGGATGCGATCGGTATGCTCTCCTAGATCGATAGTCTAGAGGTTGTACTGAAATCATGGTTTTATAAGATCGTCTCACCTGCTGTGAACTGTCTCTTCATCTGAAAGTCCATCTTTTAGCAAACCGTCTTCTCATGGAATCACTTGAGTATGTTTCCGTTAGGAAGCTTTTGCAAGCTCTGCATCGCGCCTCGTTTTCCACCGTTTTCCCCCGTATTATTAGGGAGGTGTATGCGAATACTACAGCCCATCATCAGCTCGTACGGGAGAATGTTGTCTTGTTCGCTGTTAAGGTACTCCGCGGCAACGTCCAGCGGCAGGACCTTGGCTATACCTTTCCAAAAGACATACTAGATGAGGTACCGGACTTCACACGCGACTTGATGGAACAATGTATTGACTACTTCCTGAAACGACAAAGAACGAAGGATTGGCTGAGATATGAACATCGTTTTTGACAACGATGACAATAACGCAAGTGCAGACATTCATTGGAGCGAGCTACTTATTCTTTAGTATTTAGTCATTCTTTAATTTAGTTTTTCTTTAGTACACTCCGGTCGTAGCCACATAGGCACAGCCATAGAATCACTATGGACTGCCGCTATGATACGTTTGTTATGTCCTATTCCCCTCCGTCGTGGCCCATATGACTCATGTTGTTTACATTCAGCCATCCTGTGAGAATCACTCCACCAGCGATCAGCATGATTCTCCCACCACCAGAGCAGCAATATCATGACTCTGCAACTCCACGTTATATTGGTCCTTCACACAACCCAGATCTTCACCCGTCCAAATGTCAGTTACCAGGTATCCACTGCCCTTCTCAGCGGAGTCCCTCAGCTCCGGGATCTCGCTCCACACGGCAGTCCGGCTTTTGGCACTGTCTTCCGAGTTGAACATCAAGACCAGGGTTCCGCCCAGAGTCGACGATGGCCCGGACCAATATTCCGCTGGATGCGCTGGATCGAATGTCCAGTCCGGGTTGTATCCCCATTTGTAAGGATACGCAGGGCGACCGATTACCGGATCTTGATGGAAGGACAGCAAGGGCTTATTCTTGAGGATGGCCAGATGCTCCTCTTTGATCGAATCGAGCTGCTTCAATTAGCCAGACTTCACTTACCGAGCTAGGTGGGGGCGTACAGGAGTGCCAATGATAAGAGGCGATTTCATTGCTGCCCAGAGAGCAAAATGGGCTCTGTTCTCTTCCAGAGTCAAATTTCCATTGCCGACTTCCAGCATGTCCGGATCTGGGTGCCCCCAGAAATCGGCATAGTTCATGAGGAACGAGTTCTCGTTGGCAATCTCGACAATCCGGCTCCAGTCGGCTGCTCAAGTCAGTGATGGTCTTGCTAGGTCCCAGATAATATCAACGCACGTGTAATATCCCCCGTCGTTCTCCAAGAGTTACCTGTCGCGTTACCCCATGTGTTCACGTCCGCCTGGCCCCAGTCGCACAACGAATACAGAATGGTTCGATTGACACCCAGCAATGCATCGCGCATAGCGTCGTATCTTTGAGCTGTTTTGGAACTGCTCCAATCGTATTCCGCCGGTGCTGGGTTGGATATATCTGGACAAGTGCCGTTGGGGAAGTTGGCCCCATTGGTGTTGTCTGGCACACAGTGGGTATACATGTCGGTCCAGTTCGTAGGTACGCCGCAGTTATCGTATTTCAGATCTTTTCAGTTGAGTTAGTTATCTGATGGTTGGAGCAGTAGCGAACTTCCATACAGTCGATGCCCCATTCGGCAAAGCTCTCAGCGTCTATTTTCTCATATCCCAGACTAGCAGGATAGCCAGCGCAGGTTTCCGTGCCGGCACCTGTTTTCTTTAGCTTCATTTCAACCTGATGGTAGTACCCCGTCACTTACTGCTATAAATGCCGACCTTCAGACCCATATCATGGATCTTAGAGGCGACACCTGCGATTCCGTCCGGAAATTTGGCTGTGTCCGGAATGATACGTTTTGTATTGGGATCTCGGCCAGTTTTGACTGACCAGCAATCATCGACTACAGGGGTTAGCATTCGTAGAGCAGGTTGCAGTTGACGTACTGTTGATGTACTCATAACCTGCATCTTTTAAGCCCAGGTTTATTGTTTCTTCTGCGGCCGTCAGGATCTTGGAAGCATCGACGTCGCATGCAAACGCATTCCAGGAATTCCAACCCAAGGCGGGTAGTCTTCCCTATACATCGTATCAGTTACTGCTACCCCAACGCAACGGTGACACATACCACGCCATCAGGCCGGACCAGGGCATCAGCCCCGGAAAGCAATGACAGCGACACGACTAACGAAATGTAACGCTGCATTGTACTTTAGTTATCCGCGAAATTGGGACGAGTAAGGTTGGATGGAGCTGAATGGCACAGCTTGCAGAGATATGCACGGTACTTATATACCCCACAAGCGGGGAAGCCATCTCTGTCAACTTCAGAATATAGGAATAAAAACATCCACATCTGGCTATCTCCCCGCAGATCATGCATTCCGGAGAAACAGGAGACCGAGCGGCTATCCATCATGACTTTTGCCTATGGAAACAATATTGGATAGACGTGGTGTACTCCAGATTCCTCCGCAAATGGGGTAGTCTCCGTGTCGGAAACAGGATAGCGCCGGGGTAAGCATGCGGAGCAACATCGCCAGCTTGACTAAACATACATCCTCCCAGGCATAATGCCAACTGCTGACAAGATTATTCAGATCCATAGATACTCCTGAAGTACCGCTCAAACGTCATCGTCTTCATATCAGGGAACAAATCATTATGCACCTGCCCTGGCGGCCTCCAAAATCCGCCTGATCCTTGCATTCCTTTCACCACAATCCAGAAGTCATCAGAAAACACACTCTTCGCATTGAGATGCTCCGGGACGTCTTCCTTGTTCTGAAAAACACGATGCATAACCTGTATTGGCACTATACTCTTCTCCACCTTCCTGCGGGAGTATTTCTCCCATAGTGCCACAATCTCGTTATAGCTGATATGGTCGCTAACGAAATTCAGCTCTTTGTTCTCCGAGACTTCTGGATGATCTATGGTTTTGACCAGGAAATTGGCTAGATCACCCATATGAGTGAAGTCAACCTTGGTGTCAGGGTTGCCCAAGATGTGAATCGTGTACGATAGAAGATCGGGCTGCGTCCACGGACACCAGAGGGCTTCGCGGTCTTGATTGTAGAGGTCCCCGCAACCGATGAGGGTGTAGGTCATTTTTCCTGATACTACAGCTGGATGGCGGAGCACTTTCCCATTGGCCTTGGACTTCAGGCTCCATGCCTATGCAATAGGTCAATCTACTAACCGGCCATCGGCCACGACCAAAACCGCTCCCCGAGCAGGTAAAATAGAGAGTACTCACCGGGTGCACATATCCATACCCATCTTCCCCCGTGTAAACATGGTGCATCCCATACTCGCTCGGATAAAATCTCCTCACCCCGGCCTTTTCCGCAGCAGTCTGGACCTTCTCTTGAGCAGAGAGAGCTTTCCCATTCACTGCACTAACAACCACTTCCACGCCGTTCAGAGTAGAAGCCAGCTCATCTGTATCAGCGACCAAGAGATCCACGGGCACCGTTCGGAGTCTTTGCTTCTGCTCGGCAGATATATTTATAGATTTTGCCTTAGATTCGGAAGCCGGTCGAACGAGCTGAACTACCTCATGGGAAGTCGTGGTAAGAAGAGCCATGAGGATGGAATGGCCCACCTGGCCCGTGGAGCCGAGGAGTGCAATTCTTGTCATGTTTGTGATGATCCTTGTCTAAGATTATATCATTTTCTTGCAATGCCGCTAAAGCTCAGCTGCTATCTTGGCTGAGATGAATCTCGCTGACAGGAAAGTCACCCCATTCGATTATCTAAAATGCCCGGGCTCTTAAAGTACCCTTATATAATCTATTATAGTGCTATCTCTTGTTGACAATCTTTTGTCCATCAGTTGTATTCATGTTGCCGCATCATGGATAACGTCATCACGTAGCCCTAAAGCTCTATTCCATGAACCATGCGTTAAACCCTGGTTCAAACTGCGCCTCCATTTCTCCTACCCTATCAGGTAGTTCCCTGGATCTGCTATCGATATCTTGTCGAATTCTTCATGGTGATATAGAATATCTATCTTTGGAAATCTGAGCAAGACATTGATATGCGTTTATCCACCTACGATTGTATCAAACAAAGCAGTATCCCAAACAGAATTCCTCAGTAAATTCATGCTCCATAGATAGTCACAACAGTACTTACAACCATGCTAATCTTTTTTAATAGCATAGGCCCCCAATATGGCGATCGCAGACAGTCCTATATCAAGGAGAAATAACGTAGTACCAATATACAACACTAGATAATAGATCGATACCAATTGATATGGCAATCGCAATCGAATTATCATGGCCTATTAATCTTAGAATAATGTACTAGGCCATGGACATAGCGTACAGTGTCCTATATAAGTGCATCGAGCTCAATCGGTAGAATGGTTGTGTTGGCTCAGTTGCTAATCCTTTCTGCAATCTATTTAACATTACTCCTGCCTCCTTCCATTTCTGACAGTACGATAGGGGTATTTTCTGAGCTCATAATCTGTATCACTCTCATGGCCTGTCTTCTTCTCCACGACGAAGCCATCGTCAAGTTCGTCTGTTATGTTGCTGTTGTCAAGCATCGCTATTGTCTCCTCTTGTTTGTGAGTGTATAGTTATTCACTGGTAGAGGACTGATCTAGTCTTCTGCCACTATTAGCTGGGCCTAATCCAGCTTCTGTATCGCTGGTCATCAGAGTTGGTTTCGCGACAGGAATCGCCTTTCCATCGATCAGGAGATTAACCGTTGCTGTTGGTTGATAAGTCATTTTGCGTTTCTTCGATAGTACCCCCGATGCGCTGCTCCTGCCTACCAACATGTCGACTGAGGAGAGTCTTTGCTGCCGCCTATTGGGGAAACATGGTCTTACAGCTACTATCTCCATAATGCGGCCAATGCACTTTGCGCTGCTGTAGAACTTCGAGATATGCCATTTATTTCATCCCTAAAGGCATGACACAATTTCCGAGCCTGACATACTCCCAATTTATTATGGTAGTTGATGATTGGGGAGGCGAAGTTTTATGCTCTTGGTGTTGACTACCTCTGTAGTGAAAAGTACTGACAACCGGGATACTGTGTCCCCCTCATGCGGTCGTCCACGTTGTCCACAGTGGCAATCCTGGGATCGCGACGGGAAGATCTCCGGAGCACGGCTCGTACCACGCATCCGGCTGCAGTCCAACCATGCGAGCTCTCGCCCACATGTAGTGTTGGTGGGATAGGAACAGATGCAGCACCCGGAGACACGGGAACTGGCTAGGTTAAGATTAAGAAACCCTTAACTGGTAGTTAAATTTAGATTAGGTTGGATTCATAGGGTATCATTTTGGTCACCGGAGATTTCCCTTGGGACACATTCCACTTGTTCAATTTCTGCTTCTCTGCAATTTTGTTCTCGTAGAACATGGCAGCGCGAATATAAAACTGTATGGCCGTTCCCCAGCATTATTTTCCAACAGTCCAAGTAGTATAAACCGTTCTGCCAGCAGAAAAAGTGGAAGAAATAAGAAAATGATTCGATCCTTGCTGAGTTGCGCTTGAGTTCAAACAGACGGCATAGGCAGTGCCGGAATGAAGTGGACCCCAACATGGCCCATTAAGTCTAGTATAGATCCTAAGAAATGCTAGCTCCCTTGTTGTTGAGTCTATCATGGCCTTGAATTGAATCGGCTGTCAAATGTCGGCGTAGAAATTACGGCACCGGTTGAGGATAAAACCTTACCTACCAACCCAGTCCTCCAGATCGCCCTCCGTACGAGGCTGGCTCCTTTCCCCCGAGCCCCAGTTGCTCATTCAGCATACGGAATAAGTTGCGGTTTAGGCTCCGCAACGCCAGGTGACACAGGTGCTTCTAGCTCAGCTTATCGGGTTTGCAGTACGCATCCTCAATACGTTTGGCCAGAGCATCCATAGCCTCAACGGCCTCGAAACTCGGAGGCAGGACTTGCACCCTATGCTCGCACACCAATAGTCTAGGAAAACCTTCGATGAACGCTTCAAACAGCACCTTGGTGTAACGAGTATCGGGCACCTAAAGACCGTCAGCTTTATACAGGCAGTGTCCTTCCGGGGCGAAAAGGTTAGACTTACCGGGCAGAACTGGGAGGCACCACAGAATCTCCTCCCTCGGGGGGGCAGTGGATCCTGATGCCGCCAAACCTCTTAACACACGATCTTTCCTGACAGGAAGGACACTTACCTGAACTAGATAACAGACTCCCCTTCAGAACAGACCAATTATCAACCGCTCATGCGGCCTCGCGAGCCAACCCGAGAACATCTAACAGACGAGTTGTGGTCTTGTCCATACTAGAGAGACCTTCCAATTCTGTAATTATCAATTATCTCCCATATCAGGGCTCGGGTACCTCTGACCCAGATCGTTCAATGAAGATTGTGTCTTTCTCGCGGCCAAGTATAGACCTGTTTGGAGGATTGCCTGATGCGAGAAGTGGACAGGATGAGGGTGGGATTAGTCTTTTTCTATGCCTACAGAAACCAGATGAATAGTCAAAACTACCTTGAGTTAATAACATGAATTGTTAATGGTTGTAGCTGTGTGAAGTATAGATCTGGATATATTGAAATTGTCTAGGTAGTGCAGAAAGCGAAATTGAATGGCCACTGTAACTGACTACACTGGAACGATGTGAATCAGAAACCCATAGTTAAACAGGGCTGGAAGGAGAATGACCTCTTGTATACTCTTCACCAATCTATGACCTCTATCGCCAGGCCAAATACCAAAGTCCAATGCCTACTTGTATGTTGAACGATCGTGTCGAGGTTGACAAATGACCATCGGATTCTATTTCTTGCCAGAGATACATAGAACTGAGAAGGTACAGATCATGACCGAACCTGATTAATTTCCAACAGAACTCTGCAGATATAGACGCACGAGCTCTGAACATTTGGTGCTAGCAACAATGAATTAGAAGCTCCCGTGGAGTGCTTTTAGTATACGGAATATACAAATTCATGCAAAATTGGTAGTTCAAGACAAATAGTTAATACATCAATAATGCATCCATAAATGTCGCGATTTACGAACTGGGATTGCTTCGTGTTGACCAAACTTTCTTCAATTCCTGCCATTCTGCGCTAGCTATCGAGGGGATAACAACCAAATAATTCATATTTAGTCAGTAGTTGTAATGATGTGTGAACCACTCTTTGGACACGTACTTCACTTCCTGAAAATAGGCTTCAGCAATGTCTCGAGGATAGGATGCAACTGATGGCCGGGTAGTAGCTTACCCTCACACATTTCTATGTAGAACAAACTGGACGCCGAACCACAAACAAAGTATGGTGTGGATAAGTATGAATGAAGCACGTACTCCATGGCGTCTAATCTTTTTCGAGAAGGCTCTATAACTTTTACGGGTTCTATCGTTTAGCTATGACTGGGGATATTGAGTGTAGCCTTTCAGGCTATAGCTTGCATTGAAAGGAAGTGGGTGTAACCCCCAAGCGACAGCTACTTGCTTCAAGGTATAGTATATTTCAGTAACTGAATGTCCTCTTGCTGATGTGCCAATCTGTAGAGAGGTTCTTGGACAGGAAAACTTCAAAGTTCAACAAGCGATAGAAGAGAAGTTGGCTGCGCCTGTGGTAGTTCTTGTAGTAAATACAGTTGACACTAGGTCTTAAAGCATATGACAGTAGGTCACAATATATCGAGACGAACTAAACATGCCTGAGTTCCTCATGTGTGGCAGTATGTTAAGACACTTTTCAATGTAAGAGGAAGGAATATAAATCTGAATCCGGAACACATGTCGCTATTCTCTTGCCTGCCATCCCCTCTCAACAGTTTTCAGTCGCTCAGGAGTCGACATCTGAAATGTTCCAAGGACTATGATAATTATGTGGTAAAAATGGCCTTGTCATCCCCGGAGAAAGGGTGAGTAAAACGGCAATCCGGGAAGGATGACCCCTCTGACCGTAAGCAGTCCAAGCAAATTCCCACCTTTGCGTCTTTGAGGTTATTCAAGAATCTCACAGTCTTCCTGTCATGCTCCAATGCTTTATTCGACATGCATACACAACCTTGTAACTTGCAAGGCTGGGCGTGGAACGTAGATAGCGTTGATACGTCCAAGTGCACTTGCTTAAAGCTCTTCGCTTCAAAGGCATCGGTGCCTGGAAGCAATCCACGAGCCTGTAGCTTCTGCGTATACAGCGATATGTACCTGGATTCGTCGGTTTTCAGTGCAGTCGAGCTGTCGAGTGCGGCTGTAAGTGCCTTTCGAACCATACGATGAAGTTCGTGTCTCTTTCTCTCAAATTCGACTGCAGCAGTTCTCAGTATCAAGCTATTTGTGACGCTCAGGAAAATGGATTGCCTACCGACGATGTTGCTGTCCATGAGTGGGTGATCCGCCAACAAGAGCAAGTCAGAATAGGAACCCACGTGGTTGAAGAGAATTTCCTTTGATATTATAGCGAATCTCTCCGGTATATCCATAATATACGCGAGCAATAGAAATGAACACAGCTCCGTGACAGACAGGGTTCGTAGATTTTTCAACAACCAGACCTTGACGTGGGAGACAACTGCCTTCTTGCACATGTATTTATCAGCTAACACGGCGAATCTTTCCAGAAATATAGCAGTCGGCTTCTCCGGGATCTCATCAGTTCGGAAATGCACTATGTTAAAGAAAGCGAAGAGTGCTTCGGCATCGTCGTCACCCAGGTGTATGACCGCTGGCTCCTTTGGTTCATCAATAATCAAGGTGCCCTCTTTGAAGAGAGGGCTGAACATAACGGAAAATACAGGGGAAGCTGTAGACAAAATCTTGGAGGAGACCTGAAACGAGTCATCGCCGGACATGATGACAATGTCGCCGGTGGGGTCTACCAATGTGAGTGACATGTTGACGAAGATTTTATCGGTGTTGGAGGATTTTCGAGGCTGAAAGACCCTGCTTTACAACATAGTCAGTCAGATCGTGATGTCAGAGAAAAAGTAAAGTAAAGTTTGATGTACTGTAGATTAAAAGCGAAATGCAAGGTCAAAAGAATCAGAAGGATTAGAAGCGGTTTTGTTGAGCAGGTCAGTGAAGACACAAGTGTGGTCCACGTGAGGATTTCACCAATATCAACAAGACATGCTCGTTCTTGGATCACCGTTCAAACCCCGCTCACACAGTGTTACTCTCAGTTGCCAACCCAATAAGTCAAAAAAGTACAACAGTCGAAATCCCTCTCATATTGTACATGCCTCTTGACTAGCTTCTGAGTATAGAAAGCTTAGTGGAGTCGACATGTGTCAGTCAAGACATATGATGGCATCATATACTGAGTTGAACATACCTTGAGCCATCAAGGTCTTGATCAATTGAGCGGGCTCTCACTGCTCAAGTCCGAATACCTTCAACTAGCCCCAAATACAGTCCTCACTTGTAAGATAAACTGTAGGGACACGTTTTTAATCAAGAGCTTACAAGCCATTGCCGTGGATAGGGCGCTTGAAACAGATAAGATATAAAAGGTGATATCAAGAATTTGCGGCGTACAATGACTGGGAATTATTGGTATAGCATAGAAATAGGAAACAAAAGCAACGAGACAGAATTCTCAACTTCCGATTCCTTTCAAACATTTGCCATTTGGACGGCTCCCAGACTATGAATCTTATTTAGTTCGTTTGAGGTACTTTCTTACTCTTTGTGAGAGCGAAAGGAAAGCTGGGCACATCCGTTGATGATCCCAGACACGTATAGAAGCCCCGCGGAGAATGATATGTGGATTTTTACCATGCAAAAGTACGTGGCGGAATTCATTTATAAACAACCTCAGTAGCCGAGTGTTGAATTGCCGGTATATTATTGCATTCATGACTTTCCCCACCAGTTGTGAGGAACAGAGACAGAGAGATGTCAATGACATACGGCCCAAATCGAGACCAATCGATAATGACATGCTAAACACATCATGCCATACGGCGAAGACAAACTTTACGTCGCACTTTTTGAGAAGCCGGGCTCTGTGGTCATGCCCAGTGAAGAAGATCGGTAAACACTCAAAACATATCCGAAGATTCGAACGGGACGTTACTTACAAAATATAGGTATAACTGGGCTTTTGTTATTGGACCCCAAATAAAACCAGCCCACGCTGGAATGAGGTTCCATGCTGTGGAATACCATCCTGATATGTGGACGCACTTTTGTATGCTTGACCAAACAAAACAAGACAGTATTCAACTTAGCTCACAGTATACACTTATTGTATTGGTAAAAATAGCCAACGTCAGGAATCGATCACGGCTCATAGACATGATTCGCGGGCGCCCAACCTGTCTTTCTATATCTTGTGGCATTTGCAGGTTCAAACACGGGTCCCATCGTTGTGATAGTCGCAGTTGGGCTCAGAGAGTACTGAAGAGGTTCGGCAATGAGCGCAGATGTTTAGGTACCCCAGCCTTGGGATTCTCAGTAACGGACTGGGGACATGTGCATGGGGTTACTATGGTATGCATTGGGAGGAAAATTGACAACGCAAGATATCAAGGTCACGATAGTATGGGACTGCGGAAACCGGAAATAGAGGACTTACTTGACAAGACCTACCTATATATGTGAAGTTTCCCTCATCTAACCTATAATTAGCCCCTCTGCTTTCGTCTGCTTAATTAAAATTCGTAAAGGATAAACTCTAGAGTGGCTGGATTGCCGGATGCATGATCACATCTTTTTGGTTTGGATTCTTACGAACCCTAAGAAGTTAACGCTGTGTTGGGGATTGGAAGCACTCATAATAATTAGAAATCTCTAGCTCTGATGTGATAAGACGACGTGAGAAATCAACTTTCCTTTTCCCTATTTCCCTATTTCCCAGATTATGTTGAAATGCTATCGCGCATTGTCAATCTCGCGGAGACACACACTATAACACTAGCAATCAGAGTTGTGATGTCAGTACATGGAGTCATAAACTACGACTAAACATTTATGTGGCTTGTTACCGCCAGATCGAAGATACTAGGTAAAAATGAATAATCACGTATTGTGGCCCGAAGCATCTCGAGGGTAAAAGTGACACATACGGCTTCTTTTGATACGAATGATAATGAGCTTTGAGGGCTGTAACAGAATCATGAAACTCCCTTATTGGAGATAAAGCACCCCAAGTCACACACCCAGTATGAAGGACCATTGTCTCATAAACATGAGCAATGATGTCTTTGTATTAATCCGCATCCCGCATTCAGACACTGAAACTGATTATATGCATCAAAATCTCTATAAATGCGAGATTCCTTGTTATGTCTCGCTTTCTACCAGGAGAAGTGTTTATCTCTTTTGAGTGGCATTTTACCTAGATGGAGAAATCAGCCATTATGCCTTTGAGAGAACGGATAGAAGACATACATGGCAATAAAAACAAACTGGCAATAATAAAGATATCACACCAGTACCATGGAGATGTCGACACGGTACATGAGTTGTTTTTGCTTAAGGCTATGAAATGCCTTTCCTTTATTTCTACTCGATATAAGTAGATGTCTTCTGCAATATTCGGCTGTGGATCTTCATCATCAGCGAGATCTTGAGTACACGCTCTTATTATTCTGGAGCCAACTATTTACCATTGTCAGCAAACCCAGAGCAAGTGCTAAAAGACAGCCATCCAAACTTTCCAAGACACAATGTCAGCTTTTGAAACGTACAAGCTGTTTATAGGCACCTACCGTATTCCAGATGATCCAGCAAACCGTTTAAACCAAAGGCAAGGTAGCCCATCCCAACTGCTGCGTAATAAGCTAACTATCGGGTCTTTCATCTATAGATTCCATTGGACACTCATCATCGAAAATAGTTCCAATATGACTGGCACAAGGCGCTTTCACGGTTGCTGTGGGATCGAATCCAAGTTGGACGAAGGCCTTGGAATTCCGAGTGGTGCTCTCAATGATAAGCCAGATAACCCAGTTCTGGAGCGAGCGGTTTCCTTACGGGATCACGATGAGTCCTTTAGGAAACTTGAGATCGGGGACGTTGGCAGTCTAACCCGCTTGTTGGATTTCCTTCGCACCTTTAAAGTGGATCGCAACGAGAGGCCGTCGAGTTGTTATCATTGGGTTCGAGACGCAATCGAAGATCCTATGAAAAAGAGTGCTTCTTATGTGGATCTTCAAGGAAAGTGGGCCGAAACACAAGAATTGTTGGCGAACGGCCCAGATATGGATCATAATGCCAGGTATGACGATGGCATGGTCCTGAGTATTCAGCACGAAGATACTGCAAGACAAAATGACACAAGCCAGCACAACAGAAGCGTCGATGTAAGTGACGATGAAATTGGGTTGCATGTTGTCACCCAGAATGCCGCAGCTACAGATAAGATAAGCCTTGAGGGGCTCTCTCCAGATTTTATACAGAAATATGACCTGCAGAATCATGGGATGGTTCAGAATGATGGAGGCTATGATACCATGAACCTTGGTTTCAATGACCAGAACCCAGTGAGAGGTCGTGCTATGAACCAGAACGTACCCCCTCAGAATAGCATGCGCTCTAACACAACTCGCCAATATACTACAAACCAAGAGACTATGGAGACTAATCGCGGAAAACACAAGGACAAGAAACAGGGTTCGAGTTGGTGTTGTTTTTGATGAGCCCGGGGCATTATTCAGGCGGAAACGAACATGACCCATAGAACAGAATACTTCACTGAATGGTTGTTCAGCTAGACATGCCTCCAATCTCCTAGTTTTAATTTGTTTCCTTCTGCGCAAGTTCCGTCCTGCTAGATATGCTCTGTACTACTCCCCATCAGTCCCTGTTGATATATGCCCTTAATAGACAGGTCCCATATCAACCTGGAGTTTTAAGCAGGCCTTCATTAGAGAAACAGATATTCCTGAACACAGTGGTTGGATATACGTAGGAAATGGCCCTCCACATTCAGTGTTGGACGTGCACGACCTGGGGGTACTGGGTGGCCCACATATTTCTAGTTAAATAACATCTCATCGGTCTCGACTTGCCTTTCAGTGTAAGCAAAACAACCGGGCAGTAAACAGCAGACTCCGTACTTGAACTTCAGATAACTTCTAACGATACTTGCCTTTCCTCTTGCTGTTTCTGTTGCGCTTCTAAAGCCGCACCGCTTTGTATGCATTTCGGTAGTGGGTGCCGGGAAATTGGCAATTAAACTATTTCTTAAGGCGAGACAACCTCTCTGATTTATCCTCAAGTAGTCATGCGTATATTCGCGATATAATTGGTCTCGGTTAGGGCTTTTAATATGTTCTTGCCGGATACTCCGAAGCGGGGCCAGCTAAGAGTAGCTAAGATTACTAGTTTGATCTTGTATAGACCAATCGCTCCACTACCCAATTGCACGTGTGGAAGCTTGCCTGCATCGTTCCCTGCCTATCAGTAACACGCGAATGCAACCATGTAAGCATACAGCTAAGTTATAAAAGCCCAGCCCGTTGGCTGTTTCTTGTTGGAGAGACACGGCTTCAATTCTTTCTCATCATGAAGGCAACTGCTGCTTCCCTCTTGCTGGCTCTCTCCAGTGCAGTCAATGGCCGCCCTACAGTGGATAATCGCTTCCCATACAAGGGTCCTGCGGTTCCTGTAGGTGATTGGGTCGATCCCACGATCAACGGCAATGGTAAGGGCTTCAACCGACTCGTGGAGCCTCCGGCCGTCAAGCCTGCATCGTCGCACCCGACGAACAATATTAATGTGATCTCGCTGTCGTATATCCCCGACGGTATTCACATTCACTACCAGACGCCTTTTGGGCTGGGACAATCACCCGCGGTGAAATGGGGTACTAGCCCAACCCGCTTGGTCAACGTCGCGCGAGGCTTTTCTCATACGTGAGCAGCCCCGAGACTTCAATTGAGATCTA